ATAACACAAGGCAATCACAGTTTTGAATGCGACTACAAATCGTCTTTTACCCTCATATTTATAAAAGAAGGATACCACATTAGGAAGTATAAGAGATACATAGATGATCCCAGTGTACCAGTACCTAAATCTACAAAGCTTGACCGTAGCAAGCGTTCAGCAACATGTTCCAACACCGCCATCTCGATTCCTCAGTCAGTCGTTTCCACTGAACTCAAAGCAGTAGTGACAACAGAGTAGAGTGCGTCTTACAAAGGAGAAACATTTGTACAAGAGACAGAAGTAACTATATGCGATTACAGAGGTGCGTTGGAACTCTGGTCCACAAATAGTTATGCACTGTCCGAAGTATAAAACAATTTTGTTGATAGCTGACAGACAGAGAAGAACAACAAGTAAACTTTAGAGCTGTTATTATTGAAGTGTGACTTGCAATTTTCATTTTTATATAAAGAAGGACTTGTATTTTGCACCAAAAATAAAACGATGTAATATTTTTTGGGAGATCCAGTGATTGGGACATTTAAGAAATTAAGTTATGAAAGGAAACTTGGTTGATACTTCCCACTACTAACAAGTCTTGTTGACAAATATTTTCAGATCAGAGTTTCAAATAAAGTGAATTGAAGATGTCATTTAAAAGGTGTTTTTTCTCAAAGATTGCATGCCAAATGTTTGCAAAGTGTGTGAATGATCCACAAGTTTTGGAACTCTTACAAAAATGTTTTGTAAGAATAAAAACAGCAAAACAAATTACAGCAATTAGTCACAAAAACAGAGCAAAAAACTGAAAAAAAACAGCAACAACAATAATGAAAAAAGAAAGATTAATTAGGTGTTGAATTTGTTTGTCTAAGGCATGAAATTTCTACTAAAAATATTGTCAACAAAAAGTCTCTGACAGTGTTTGAGGCAACTGAGCTTGACTGTTCCAAGGTTTTCTAACAAAGGCAACCAGTAATGTAGGTTAGGGAAGTAACTTATGTTCATAACTAACAAAGTTCTTTAAGTGTAGATAACACTGTAATTATTATTAATTATTGTGGAAGTTGTGTACCAAGGAACAGCCAATTAATGTTTGATGATTTTGGCACATCAGTGAACATGAGACATTAATTTGCATCACAATAAAAATATTTTATGATCATGGAATCCAAGAGTCCTTTGAGGTTAGAAAGCAAATCTGTGACATGAGTACATTGGATTAATTGGCAATTTCCATTTAACATAACTGACAGCTGGTTCATGAGAAAATCCATATTAATGTAAAGATTTACTAAAACTTAGTTTGAATAATAAATTTCATGATCTTTAAGTTATAAACATATACATGTATGTATATCTCTTGGTAAGTTTTGTATAGCATACCTTTTATTGAGCCAAAGTTTTAAGCCTCTGAAATTACTCCTTTTCTTAAAACCTTCGCATTCAAGGTATTGAGGATTTCTTAGAATTTATGTGGACCTCAGGGTATTAAAATTGCCTCAAATTCAATTCCCAGAAATTCCCAAGAGTTCCACCCTTCTTAAATTATAGGTAGTTTGTAAAGCTGAGAATTCCTAGGAATTCCTAGGGATTCCAAGTCCTCACAAAACTGGAGTCTTCCTTTCCCAGAAATTCCCAGTAATTCCAAGCTTTTTAAATCAGAGTTAATTTGCATAGGTGGGAATTTTTGAGAATTCCTAGGAATTTCCAGGAATTCCCAGAAAACTGGGAATTCAGGGTCAAGGGTCACTTGCATAATTGGAAATTTTTGAGAATTCCTAGGAATTCCCAGAAAACTGGGAATTCAGTTCGCAAGGGTCCTCAGCTAAAATCTGGACCCCTGGCAGGCATATACCTTGATCATATGTAATGTAAGGTAATGGAAAAATTTATCATTAGAAGCATTGCACATGCGTGTGCTGTAAAACGATCAATCTGAGCATAACAGCCAGGATTCATCAGTAAAATGAGGCTTCACTTCTTACTGGCATATACCTTGATCACATTAGTGCAGAACAAAGAGAAAAATAATCATAAGATGCACTGCACCTACATGTACTGTAAATATTCAATCATTGCCTGACAGAAAGGATTTTGTCAACAAAAAAAGTCTTCACTCCTGAATGGCAATTACCTTGATATCAGTGGTGTAGAGCTAGGGGAAAAATAATCACCTATACATAGTGTAGAATAATCAATCAATGCTTAACCGAAAGGATTCCTCCGCAAAGAATTTTATTCTTTACACCCATCTACTTTGATCACAGTAGTGTAGAACATGAGAAGAAATTAGTCATTTGAAGCATTGCACCTATACGTACTGTAAAATTATCAATCAGTGCTAAACAACAAGGATTCCTCATCCAAAAATCTTCACTCCTAATTGGTAAATACCTTGATCACAATAGTGTAGAGCAGGGGAAAAAATAATAAGAAGAACTACTGCTCCCACAATTTACTTGGATTAATCAATTAATGAGTAACAGTGAAGATTCCTCAGCCAATAGCTTTAATCCTAACTAACATATACCCTGATCACAGAAGTATAGAGCAAGGGAAAATTAATCCTTAAAAGCAGTCGTATGTACACTGTAAAATGATCAGTTAATGCCTAACAGTATAGATTGCTCAGCTGAAAGCTTAACTCCTTAGTGTCTCATTCCTTCACCACAGTGGTGTAGGGCAAAGGAAAAATAAATAACTAGAAACACTGCATCTAAATGTACTGTAAAATGCTCAATCAATGCTTTAAAGTTAAGATTCTTTAGCTAAAGCCGTACTCCTTACTGGCATATACTCTGATCACAGTGGCGTGGAGCAGAGGAAAGAAGAAATTGATCATTTGAAAATCAATCAATCAATCAATCAATCAATCAATCAATGAAAGAATCAATCAGTGTTTAAAGGTACGAATCTCTCAGGAAAATACTTTTCTCCAAACTGACATAAACCTCGATCACATAAAAGTATGAGTATCGGATTACTTATGCATACTTGCCTAGGATGAGGCCGAGTGGATAGTCCCCGTAACGAAGCAAGCCACGTAAATTATGATCACGAGGGAATCGGCTGTCCGCAACTTGACTCTTGTTTGCAAAAAGTTAACTCGCTACAATAAGTAGCTGTGTAAAACTCTCCGTCCCTTCGTTCGTTAAAACCTCTGACACTCTCTGACATGCGTGCTAGCTGAGAGAATGAGCTCTCAAAGATATCTGGGACTAACCAGTGTTGGTAACCATGCAGGCTTTTTTTTTTAACAAGAGCATGTCGAGTTAAGTACAAATAATACTTCTCAAATACTTACTTGATATTCTCTCAATAGTTTTCGATGGAAATCCATGTTTTAACGGCCTCTATGGTGAACCATTCGGTGGACTTCTCTATATTTAAATGGTCGGTTCTAGTTATGAATGAACTGAGCTTTTTTTCTTAAATCCTGGCAGAGTAATCTCGCTGACAGAATAGGAAGCAGCTCTAACTGATCATGAGAAAATGTTGCTTCATACTGCAGCTGAACAAAAGGCAGGGTGGAGCAAACGGTTACGAACAATGAGAGGCTTAAACGTCTGTGAATATATGAAAGTCATATACTTGAACTGTGGATAAAGACGTGAATATGAGCGATCTTCTTAGTAATGAACGCCACTTGAGCAAGCACTGCTCCGGTATCGCAGAGGTCATGGGCTCAAATCCCGTACACGCCTGAATTTTTTTCAGGCCTTATTTTCACTACTGCCCAAGAAGTGTTCATTACTGCGAAGATCGCTTTCATATTCACAATGAGAGGCTCAGAACCTTTTGTTCACTTTTCTTAGACAACCTTACGTTACAATTCGCCTTTGTAATTTCTAGCCGAGTTTGTTTTTGAGAGGACCATTTATCATGGCAATCCCTCAGGCACAGAATTCTACCTAACGCAAGATCGAAAACGGTCCATGAAAATGGCTGAGATGGCCCAGTTAGGGCTAACTGACCATGAATAGAAATGCTTCTCCCAATTTGTGAAGTTATTGGACACCATTCCCATTAAATGTCTCTTGCATTGATATATGTCCTTTTTTTCAGCTGGAATCCTCTTGTTATTTCTGGAGCCTTATCGAAATGTAATGAAACAGGAGCTTAAATGACCGGTGAAACATAGCTCTGAGATCGATTGAACACTACCTCGCATTGTCACTGTTGTTCCTAACTGTCCCACAATTCATGATCACTTACATGCGACGATGAAGCTTTAGCAAGGTGTTTATTAACGTTGTCATATTAACTAAAGCAGGATAGTTTTACGATCCTTATAGATATCAAGTATCCTGGCGAAGTAACCTGAGACAAGTATATGTCTAGATCAAAGCTTCATATCGCTTCTTTGAAAACTCAACAGATTCCTTGAGCGACATGTTACAATAAAGCCCGCCATGTTGAAGGGTAGAACTATCGGTTAATATCCAGTAACAATAATATACCACTGAAGTGCTAATTTGCTCTTCCGGTTTGATTGAGCCTTTACCGGAATAGCAGGATAATTCTCTTCAAAACTTCAGAGAATTTCCTCTCTAAACATTACTTCAGTTGTAGAAACACTGGAAAAAAAAACACCTCCTTTAACTCATATTGACTTTGCTTTAATTATTTAATTTTTTTCTCAGGTCTTATTTCAGCTACTAGTTCAGTAGTGTTCATAGCTGCGAGGATCTCTTATATTCGTTTTTTCACCGCAGTGCACATATATGATTTTCATATATCTTACAGTCATTATTTTCTTTGATTAGTTATCCATCACTAAGTTCCTGTCCAGCTAGCTAGTTAACTCATGTCAATAATAATATCTAAACATTTTCCAAATAATTTGGCATATCATTTTATCACAATCGATTTTATGCTACATAAACCAAATAGGTGACTGTATTTCTAAGATATTTTAGAATCAGACAGCCAAAGGCTGATCAGCATTGACTCTGAGTACTGAATATCATAACCATATTATTGATCACATAATTATTCCCAGGAACCTGTTGAACATGGCGGACGCTACCATCACTGAAAGCAAGAGTCAAGCAACAAGCAGAAGAAAACCACCAGAGGTAGATGTTAAAGTGCCAGAGGTTGAAAATCTCCCGCAGCACTCAGAGCCTTGGAAAAACGTCCAAAACAACTTTCTGCCGGTCCATTTTCTTTTGCTGACGGTAAATGACTGCGAATTCCGAAGCTGTCTTTCCTTTCTCAAAGAAGATTTTGTGAAAAGTTATCGCAAAACCCTTGGCTTTGTATACTTTGGAAGTATCCTTGACAACGAGAAAGTGAAGGTTGCAGTGATGAAATGCAATATGGGTGGTGCCGCTCCCGGTGGTTCCCTGGTTGTTGTCCCGAAAGCGGTCCGCATCTTGAAGCCCAAAGCTGTGTTTAATGTGGGTTTCTGTGCTAGTTTGAACAAGGAGAAAGCAAAGCTAGGTGATGTGGTCGTGTGCTCAAAGTTAATAACCTACGCCTTCATAAAACAAGAGGAAGATAGGATCGAGGAGCAAGGTGTCAGAGTTCCTTTAAATAAGGGTCTATCAGGTGTTGCCAGACACATTGGAGATGGATGGAAACCACCCGTGAAGAACTCAACCGATCTGAAGGTGAAACCAAGCACGAATGGCGTATTTCTGAGTGGGCCTGAGGTGATTAACGACCCAAAACGACTTGCTGCACTGATGAAACGATTTCCAGAAGCAACAGCAATTGAGATGGAAGGGGAAGGTAATAAATGAAAAGTAAAAGTACGTATTTCAGACTATTTATATCTGTACGGGGTCCTGTTTGGCCGTCCGTCTTTCTTTCTGTCTTTCTGTCTTTAATGTCTGTTGGTCTCTTTTTCTATCTGTTACACATGCCAGGATACATACAGCTGCTGAATCAAGTTAAGTTTCACCACCATTTCATTTTTATTTTGTAAATCAATTTTTTTTTCTGGAATGTTGATGGATAATCACTGTAAGAAGTATTTTTGACTGCCTTGTCCTCAAAATCAATAAAAAGTGGCAAGTTACACTAAAATTTTAGCCCAACTTACATTCATAACCATAACAATCGATTCTCATTGAGCTTGGCACCTGCGAACGAAATAAATTATGTCCAAGTGATGGAATATCGGATACAGTTGAACGGAAGTTGCAGGAGAAGTAAAATCCACATTACAAACATCAAAACAAATTAAAGCTAGAATAACGAAGATTACAACTCTGATGCCTTTCGTTTGTTGTCTGTTTGATATTTTACTCATTTTTCGCTCTCTTTATTTCTTCCTTGCATGCTCCCCATTACCTTGTATGACAACTATTTCGCTGTTTCTATCTGTCCTTCCATGAGTCTCTCTGATAACTGTCTGCCAGTGTCTCTCTTTCTAACTGATTTAAAATAATATGTAATTTCTTTAATCGTAGCACAACTGCAAGGATCATATCTTTGCTAATATTTACTGATATACTTATCCATTTACTTATTTAAAAAGGCAAAGTGAAAACCCGGCGTCTATTCAGTGTCTCTTATAAACCAATGCTTTTCTTTAAGGTCTTTACGCAGCCGCCCATGATCTCAACATTGAATGGATTGTCATTAAGGGCGTGTCAAACTTCGCCGATGGAAAAAAATCTGAAACTGATCATTGGAGACTATTTGCCAGTGTTATGGCGGCCCTCTCGTTGCACACATTCTAAAAGATTCTGGTATTTTTGAGTCCTGGCCTCACTTCGAAGGTAATTATGCAGTTGGTTGAAAAAGTAGATACTTTTATCAAGGGAACTCTACATTAAAAAAAAAATCCACAAGCAAGTTATCGTCAGTATGACTAGGATTTGCTGTATAAAAACGCTGTTTAACGATGTCGCGCAGACGAAAGTTGCATGATGTGATTTACAGTGGCAACCGATTCTCATGACGAGCTGCTCCTAAGTGGCGTGAACTAGACACTGCCAGTCCTGAGAGCAAAGAAACCAGTATACATCAAAACAAACAGAATAAAAGGAAATAAAAGTTTTAAGATCATTCCTAACAATCACCGCTTGCGAGGTCTAAGGTTCATTGAATAAATATTAAAGAATTAATTTAACTGATGGATATATGAAAAATTACACAATAAATAACAGGAGCCACAGACAGCCCAAGCGCACTATGTGTGATTTTGGGGTTTAAATATCATTAACAGGAATACCTGATAAATTAAGATTGATTTTGTAAGCGTTAGTGTGTGCCGTAAAAAAAAAGAATGATGATAAAAAATTTAAAAAATATACAAAAGTCTCCTTACCTTTATTCCGTGGCCGCTTTGTCGCTTCCGGCCATTTTAACGCTATTAGTCGAAATTTTAGTACTGCGTGTTGTGCACTATTTTATAGCTTCTACTGTCATTTGCACGTTTATTATCATTATCATTTTTTATAGGACACGCTTGAGTTTCATTTAATTTATTAGATATTAAAGTAAATGGTTTGAAACCAGGAGTATCAGTAGTTCGTGTAGTGTGATCGTCCGGGTGAGTGTAGTTCTGAAAAGAACTGTTGTTGGTGACTGACGTTTCGACTATCTGTGCGGTAGTCATCTTCAGAGTCAAGTGAAGAGTAGTTTTCAGTCGATGATGTTATAAATTCTGGTCTGTTGAACGTGATTGGTCTGTTTAGCCGTGATGTGATTGGCTGGAAGACTCGTGTAGAGTTTGTTAACAGTCATTGGTCGGTTTCGATCCGTCTGTTGTTTGTCGGTCTGTTTGTCGGTTTGTTCACGTCGTTAATGAGTCGTTTGTAAGGTGCTGGTAACTGTTGAAATTTGTTGAGAGGCTTCTGTTCTAAGTTAGTCAACCAGCTTTCCAGAGTTAGTCGCTGAAAATAGTTTGTACTGTAGGTTAAGCATATAGCAGAGTCCCAGTCGATTCTGTGATTAGTTTGTCGGTGATGTTCAGAAATGTGATTGTTTACATCGCCATTTCTAGTTGCTCGTTTGTGTTCAGTTAGTAGCGTGTTAAGGTTTCTACCAGTCTCACCAATGTAGGAGGCCTGGCAGTCGGAGCATTCGATCTTATAAATCGCTTCCTGTCTGTTGTTGGGTTCGTCTTTGTCTTTAACGTTGGTCTGCAAATGTCGTAAAGTAGTAATAGGCCTGTGAGCTACGCCAATGTTGTAAGGTTGTAGGATCCGCGCGATAGCATCAGAAGTGCCTTTGATGTAGGGTATAGAAGCTGTAGTCGTGATAGATGTGGATTCCCTGTTAGTTTCTGTAGTTTCCGTCGCCCTATGAGTGTTTCGTCTAATGAAGTCAGTGTTGTAGTTGTTTTTGTCAAAAACACGGTCAAGGTACTTGTTTTCGTCAGATAAACTGTCCGGTGTGTTGCAAACAAGTTGCGCTCGTCTTGTCAATGTCTTGATAGTCGTAGCTTTGTGAGAAGTTGGGTTGATAGATATTAGATATTCCTGTTAATCACCTTTAAACCCCAAAATCACACACACAGTACGCTTGGGCTGCCTGTGCAGGAGCCAACCTATTGGTACAGAGACGGTTTTTGTCAGTTTTTATGCATAAAAGATGCGGTTTAACTCTTCTCCGACAATGAACCCATACTTTGGTGCTCCTTTGATCTCTTCTAGTTAAGAGGATAACTGAAAGTGGCCTTTTTGAGCCTTTTAATTATCTTGTGTTTCACGAAATGCAATATGTTTAACTGTAGGTACGATTTCTTGTCATTTTATACAGACAATTCGGATGCTGAAGATGGTTCTCCTCGAAAGAGACGACGGTCGTCATCTTCTCCTTCCGGTTCAGACCCTAAAAGAAACAAAGCGACAGCAGGTAATAATGTTTAATTTTTAAGTACACTGTTGTAAGAAAATGCCTGCTCAAGAGTTTTTTTAAGTAGCGTGGAACAAATTAATTTCAAAATTTGTCCAAATATTTTGTGTTGGTGGCCCATAGTAGCAACTATCATGGCTAAAAAGCACAATTCTTTAACCAGAGTATAAATTGCAAATGATGCCGGGTAGCGAGAGGGGAGGAGGAGGAAAGAGAAGGACGAAGAGAGAGAGGAGAGGAGTAAGAGAAAAACGAGAAATTGAAAGGAGGAGAGGGAGGTATGGGATGGATGAAGGGAGAGAGTAAGAGAAGGAGGAAGGTTGGGAGGGTGGAGGAAGATTGGAGACAAGGACAAAGGGATGAATGGAAGGAGGGAAGAAAATAAGAAGGAGTGGAGGAGGACAGAAAGAAGGGCAGAGGAATCGTAGGGGGAGAAGTAGCAAGGAAAGGGGGAGGGGAGGAAGAAAAGTAGGAACAATGAAGGTGGTTAGAGAGTTAATCTAATCCATTCTCGTCTTTCAGGAGATTCTTTTGTACAAGGTGCACCGCAGGAACCTTCAAATCGAAGAGGACGGCGATCCACACGATCCAGTAGTAGTGAACGCGTGCTACTCAAGGTATTTTACCAAAAAAATCTTGTTAATTCCGTAGATGATAAATCTAAAGGGAATTATAGGGTAATTCCCATGTTCACTAATTGAACTCAACAGTAACGCCTATTAACTCTTTGTCAACGCTTTGTTTGATTTTCGTCTTTAATTCATTTCCTTAAAGCAGCATCGAATTCAGCAAAAGTTATTCTTATTACATTATACTGAAATCGAGAAGAGAGACTCAATCACCATGAAAACAGAGCGACATTGAACAATTTAAGCCTCCTTTGTGAGTCTTTTTAATGCAAATTGTCCGATTAAGTAGTAGTAAGACTTCATGGCATTCAATTCGGTCTGAAATCATACTCGTGATAAACAAATCGGACTCCCGCTGCGCGTTCGTCCGATTTTGTCATCACTCGTATGATTACAGTCCGAGTTGAACTCCACTCAGTCCTATTACCATTACTTATCCTCAGCTCCGGTCAAGGCTGGTGGACCACCAGAAGAGGAGTTGGAAGGGCTGTCTCTAAAACTTGGAGAAAATTGGAAGAAATTAGGAAGACGCCTGGGATTCGACGAAGCCGCAATAATTAACTTTGATCACGGCAATAGGAAGCTGGCAGACAAAGCTTTTGAAATGTTACTGGCTTGGAAAAAAAAAGAAGGCTTGAATGCCTCTTACGAAGTTTTTGTACGATGCCTTGTGTCACAATTTTGTGCAATGTAAACTTCTTGCAGAAGAGTTTTGTTGCGATAAGATTATAGAAAATGTCTCTCCTTAGTCTTCTGTTATAAAGATTGATGATGGTAACAGGACTTCGTGTCGTCCTATTCTGTCAGTAATCATACGAGTGATAAACAAAATCGGACGACCACGAAGCGGGAGTCCGATTTGTCAATCGCGAGTATGATTACTGACAGAATTGCACGCCACGAAGTCCTACTATTAATCAATCATAACCATTACAATTTCCGGAAAAAAAAACATTTAGGACAAACATCTCCAGTTGGGACAATGTCTAAAGCAAAAAATTTTGATATCTCCCAGTTTCCAGGCTAAGTGATTGTTGCTATGGTTATTATGATCAATTCTGTGATTGGTGGTTTAGCTGCATGGTATGATTGGCTGCTTTAACTGTCCGATTACAGGAGTTCGATTACACTGCCCGATTACAACTGTACACAGTGATAAGTGAAATATAAAGCAGCTGATGCACCGATCACATTTGAGGAAATTGTAATGGTTATGATTAAATGATTTATATACAATTTCATATGTCTGTCTAAGTACTCCATAAAAGATCTGAATCGGCTTGCATTTGTAAGCTCCGCTTATTTTCCTAGCTCTTGAAGATAGGAAAAATATTAGCTTTAGAGGATAGATAATCACTCTAATTTTTCAGAATTTTTTAAGAACCGCAGGTCATGGAACGTGGCGGTTGGAATTCATTTAAATGTTCGTAACACGCTAAGCACACTCCCAACCAAAATACCCTTCATATATCCTTCACATTCTGACATTAAAATGTACATTCTCCTTACTATTCTCTTTGCATTTTTATGGTACAGACAAGGATAATTGCGTGTTTAACAAATCAAAAGCTTTTTTGGTTGCTGATCATTTCCTTTATTCTCGAAAACTTATTTTTCAATTAATGAGTGATACTGTAAGGAGAAATAAGATGATAAACACAATTTATGTTTAAGGGATAATCGTTTGTGGCGCACCTAGAACATGAAGTAACTTCTTGTTCTTGAGAATGGTTAGATTTTTCTTGTATCAATGTGGTGGATATATATGCTTAAATATATAACCCTCTTAGAAGCTAGGAGCTGTAGGTATTAGGCTATTGATAAAGATCGAGGATATAAACGTATTCCTCAGCCTGAGCTTTCATATTTTTTTTTATGGGTTATAAAGGTTTCGCCTCATTGCAAGTTCGCCCTCAACAAGTTCGCCCCTACTACGACCAGCTCTCCCGGTCACCGCTGTGCCTTTCTTATCTTTGCGGTTTCCTTCTTATAAAATCGGTTTCTTTTCACCTAAAATCATATCATAGTTCGTTCAGCGCGTGAAATAAATGTAGAAGTCATTTTCTACAACTCAAAACTGAGTCTTTGTGCTCCAAAATGAAAAACAAAAAATAGTTTCTTCTATGTGGGTTCAATTTACCGCTGAACTTGCAGCTGTAGCAACCATATAACGTAACATAGCTTTTGAACGACACGAAATAAAACGAGTTATAGATCCAGGTAGAAGACAGTGGAAGGACTACTATTTGAAGATAACCAACCGATCGTGTTTCCCTTTGTTGGCCTGAAACATTTTTTTAAAGATGAAAAGGTCAATTATTGCAATTTTTTTCCATTGTATTAACAATTTTGACACCTGCCCGTTTCCCCAAGAGATTATAAACAGTTTATAATCTCGTGTCATCAGTAAGCACGCTGTGCGTGCCTATTATCACGTCTAAAGATCATAAAGAAATAGAGGGGGTATTAACAGTGGTTCTACTTCAGGGAGGGGAGGGGTTACAAGATAATGTGGTTTATTGACTGAGGTGAAAGTGTAAATTTCTCTCGTTTCGAAGGATACTGGAAATGTCAGCTCTTAAAAATCCTTACAGTGGCCGATGGAAAAAACTATTTTGATACATTGCATGATTTTTACACCACACAAAGTTTGCGCTGATCGCGGACTCTAGCTGTCGGTTTCAAAATGGCGGCGGCAGTGAAGAGAAAACCGGAATCTATTGTGCCGCCAGAAGAAAGTGATTTGCTCAGAATAACGCCACTGTAAGTTGCTTTTTACCTCAAATCTTGAAGTGACTATGTAAATAAGTCAACGCATTTGTGTTTGATGGATACCGATCTGTTGCTGGTTGTAAACTGCATTAGAACGTGCGTCTGCACGTGTACTGACCACAAAAACTCTTTAGTAACCTATCGCAATCGATTTCGGACGTTTTCGACATATTTGACGGTGCATTTTCGCAATTTAGTAGGCCTTTTTCACCAGTGACCTCAGATATCCCGGTGGACGTGTCGCTGTAAATAAATGAGCAGTCGATTAACGGTACAAAATATTATTTCTGTGTACGCCATCATTGTTATTAAAATGGTTTGCTGAGACGGAGATGCCTTCTCAGACTTTAGGCGTAGGTCTTAAATTGAATTATTTTCCGGTATGTTTACCTAGGGGAGCTGGGCAAGAAGTTGGTCGGTCATGTCACATCCTGGAATTCAAAGGAAAGAAAGTGATGGTTAGTATTACAGGGTACTGAACCCTTTCACTGGCAAGATTCAAAATCTTACATTTTTTGCCGTGACTGTGGGAAACCCAATAGCCTAATGATTCATAGACTGGACTCTGTGCCAAGAGGTCTGAGTTTGAAACCTGGCTGGGTCATTGTGTTGTGTTTTATGAGCAAAATACCTTACTCTTACAGTGCCTTGTTCTGCCCAGGAGTAGGACTAGGTATAGGCATATAGTCAGGGAAGCCTGACGAAATGCTAGGGGGGAACTTTGTGATGGACTAGCATCTCATCAGGAGGGAGCAATGATACTTTTAGTCACTTCATGCTGAGATAAGCTCCAGTTGGAAGAAGCACTTGGTTTAATTATTGACTCTTCTGTCTTGACCTGTCCTAACAATGTAGTGTTGTATCATTGCTTGGTTGATGATTTTTTCAGTTCTTGTCACCTCTAGCTGTGTAACAACTCCTACCCTTGTTGTATGTCAATTCACTGAGTCCTCAGGGTTAATGATACTTTCTTTTGTGGACATTGAGGGTTATGCAGGCACAAATACGAACAGTTTTGAAAGAGAGGAACCTTTGAGTAATTCAACAAAAAAAGAGATGCAACAACAGATTTTATGCAACTGCACCAATCACTCAACCTTTTTTTTAACTCTTTAACATTTCCCACTTTTAGCTGGACTGTGGAATTCATCCTGGAATGTCAGGAATGGAGTCTCTACCTTTTCTTGATGAAATTGATACAGCAGAAATTGATCTTCTCCTTGTCAGTCAGTAAGTGGTTATTAAAGAAACCCAATTTGTCACAACAGAAGTTTACTCATCATCATCAACTTATACAGTAGTTGACCAAAATAAACCCTTGCTCAGTCACCTGATTTAATACTTAATACCTACAATTAAATTCTAGTCATCAAACTTGATCCTATGAAATATTGTACAAAGGGGGGAAAATGCTGTCTAACAGATAAAACGCTATCCAGTGGTGAAAAATACTGCGGTATCTCCTGGATACTGGAGATTTATCGGATGGAGGATGGTGCTATACAAACTCATAACTACCAGGGTCCAGAGTTTTTTGTTTTGTTTTTTTTTTTTGCTTTTTTTTTTTTTTTTGGAATGGGGGATTTTTCTCGTGTTTGGTGGGTGGGAGGAAGGGAAACTTAAAGTATTCATGTACATTGTATCTAGAGATCATGTAAATAATTCAATACATTAGCTAATAATAGAAACTACAAGCACCTGATGACACCAAAAAATAATATGAGACAGTTAAACATTGATCTTTTCTTCTTTATTTGAGCAATAACGAAGGGGTGCAAGTTTAACCCTTTAACTTCCATGAGTGACCAAGACAGAATTTCTCCTTACAATATCAATACAATATCAACCAGATAGGTGATGAGAATGAAGAAAATATAAATTTGGGAATAATTAGTTGATCCAATACTAATTCTCTGAACTAATGTGTAAGAATTCTATGGTTGACTGTAAGGAGAATTGCAAATTTTATCTGGGAATTAAAGGGTCAAGGGAAGGGCCAGAATTAACGGTATGGCCTGTAAACAGGGGCTGGGGAGGGGGGAATACTTGCAAACCAGAATAATTTTTTTTTTTGTTTGTAATTATATGTAAAAAGTGGACGCATGAAAAGGTAGTGGGGTAGGGGGTTAATTAGCAATATTCTGTGGTGTGTTTTTTATGTACTCTAAGTATTCAGATCAGTTTTGAACCTATGTGCAAGAAATTTTGTTGTTATCCATTTCCAGCTTTCATCTAGATCATTGTGGATCGCTTCCTTGGTTTTTGGAAAAGGTGAGCAACCACCACAATGTTCTGATACATTGTGATGTGTGGAAACAACCTGTTCATTTAATTTTATGTTGAAAACTTAGTGATAAAGTTCAGTAGATTTTAGTCATCCTTGTTCTTGTTTGAACTCCAGCACAATGCTCAATGCTCCTCTACACAATTTTTCTTCAGCACTTATCCCTGAAATCTGTTTACCCTTAACCCTTTAACTCCCAGATCAAATTTGTTATTCTTGTTACTGTTGACCATACAATTCTTATAATGTTAGTTCAGAGAATTTAGTATTGGATCAACTAATTATCCTGAAATTGATATTTTTCTTTATTCTCATCACTTGTCTAGTTGATGTTGTATTGATATTGTAAGGAGAAATTCTGTCTTGGTCACTCATGGGAGTTAAAGGGTTAATACCCTGATATCAGTATGCATATTCTCTGCACTGTTCTATACATTTCCAATGGAGAATTGGTTTAAAAGCCAAGGGCATCTTTAGATGCTGATTATTTCTTCAAATCTTGTGACCTTAGTATGTGATTCATCAGTGATGCTGTAAGGAGAAATCAGATGTGAGTCACTCCCTCGGATTAAAGGGTTGTCTTCAATTAAAATGGCTTTTTTACTCATAGTTCATGTTATTTAAATGGTGTTTAATCTTTAAAGGATTTTTTCTTTGCTTTTTAGACAACATTCAAGGGAAGGGTGTTTATGACACATGCAACCAAAGCAATATACAGGTACATTGCATGATTAAGATTACACAGATGAATATTGCATATTAGGATATACCACACAAGTGGCTGGTGTGCAGGTGATTAGCAAGTATGTTACACCTCCAAGCCGCCGAAGAGACAAGATCATATCTTAAGAGTTTAATTTCTAACCATTTTTCAGTATATTGACAGAAATGAACTTATAAGCTTAAAGCTAGAACTTTTTGGCTTCTGTGTAGGACATACTAAAATTTGCCTCATTATTATTATATACATTATTTATAAACATTATTTGCCTCAGTGTCCATGAAAGTGGTGGATATTTACCAAGCCATTTTTCAGCATGGTAAATATCCACCATTATGAATTTTTCAACTCTGATTATTGTATTTCAACTGTTCTGATTGGTTCACTCAACTCCAGTTATCAGCTCTTATTCCAAATCACCTTATATGGAAGGGCAAAGCACCATCTGTTGCAGAGCTGAAAAAAGGCTCCAAATAATATAGCCTGGTTGGCTATATACCATCTTATAACCATTTGTGCCCTCATGGAATGATTGTTAACTATTTCCCTCCATTTTAGTGAAAATAGCATCCAGAGCCCAGCTTTCAAACAAAATAGGCACCAGTCTGCCTCATAATTCTTTTTCAATCATTTCTTTTTCATACATCGTTCATCATTTTTTTATTTATTTGTAATTATTTTTTTAATTTATTTTTTAAATTAATTTTTATATATTTTTATTATTGTTTTATATATCCATTTTTTTAGCACTACTAACATTATTTGCAATGTAACAATACCCAATACTTGATTATAGATTTGTTTTCTTTAGCAGATTCTTTTACTGTTTCAATTAATCTTTCAGAATTCTTGGGAAAAATTTTTCTAGCAAGCAGTTTGAGTTTTTCTCTTTCCTTTCCTTTTTAGGTGGCTTCTTTCAGATTATGTCAAGGTTAGGTAAGTATCATTATACATTTCAAGCAAAGGAGGCCTTTGGATAGAGATTCTTCTTCACATATTAACTAGAACATTACTAATTGCTATTCCAAGCCAGCTGCAACAAGAGTATTTTTCACCAAAGGTGCAATGACAGGCTTACTTACTTAAACAGCTATGTTTCAGTTGTTTCTACCTGTGTCAGCTCATACATTATACAGCCTGTTGTGTTTGTTACAAAAGTGAGCATCCACCTTTTGAGGACACTCTTTAAATACATTGTCCTCCTCTGCATCAGCCAGTCCCAGTAAGCTCTTGACAAATCTCTTTGACTTCCATTCCTGCTCTATGGCTTTTTTTATGAGCTGCATATGTAACTCCATTGAAGTAATATAAATATAGTTGTTTCCACAAACTATACAGACACAGGACAGTTTCACTCCTGGATGTACTTGTCCTTAGTGTGATACCTCTGGCCTAGTTTAGCAAAACCCATCATAGATTTGCCCTCTTTGTTGGAAACACTCAGAAATCTCTGAAAAATTATCCTTAGAAGTTATTTACTGGCATGCAACAAGTGGCTTCATGGTTTAGTTGGTAGTACAGTGTAGTGCCCATCAACTATCTGGGAATAGATGTTGAAACCTCATTGGAGCCTTCAAATTCTCAGACTCAATGTATTGCAATGACTACTATTGCAGTGTACCTGGGAAGAACAGTTTGTCATGTGTCATTTTTATTACTGTTCATTATTTTTAATTAGTAACATTGCAACAGAAGACATGCTGTACACTGAATCAGATCTGGAAAAGAGCATGGACAAGATTGAAACCATTCATTTCCATCAGGTTTGTTTCAATCTACAGCTTTATCATTACATAATTGTAACTTATGATATCCAAAGTAGTATTTTTTTTTTACTCTTTTAGGAAAAAGAAGTTAATGGGATTAAGTTCTGGTGTTACCATGCTGGTCATGTTCTTGGGGCAGCCATGTTCATGATAGAAATTGCTGGTGTAAAGGTTTGGACAGTCTTCTAAAAGTTTTTTGTCAAACACTTACATAGTGGCTATCCTGTGCACAAGAACACAGGCTTACATGCAGAAAAAAGTGTCCTTGAGGTGCCAGTTTTTCTTGATATCCACATCTACAATTTGATGGATTGTCTAGGTACATTTTAGAGTATTTTAATTAAAAGAAACATTATAACAAATTTAACTTAAGCATAAACTACACAGTTTCTAAGATTTTTAAGTGGGATACATATTCATTACTGTCGGAAAGAGGTGGCCTCTCTTTCTATGTTACAGAAAATGTGAAAATATGTCCATGGGTAGCTGGCCTTTGTTTGAGGGTGCCAGTTCACAGAGGCTCAAATGCACTGTTTAATAACAATACTTACTGGACTTTCCGGAATGAATTATTGGCATTTATACATATCCATTGAATTTTGCACCTACAGTAGTTTGCTATGTTTTTAACATTTCTTTGATGTTGTTGTTGTTTTCCAGATTCTTTATACAGGAGATTTCTCTCGACAAGAAGATCGTCATCTGATGGCAGCAGAGATCCCTAGCATTTCTCCTGATGTTCTCATAATTGTGAGCTACCAACCATTTAAACTCACAAGTCTGTTAATTTTGTTGTGTATTTGGAGCATCCAGCAGTGTATTTCTAGATGATTTTGGCTTCAAACTTTAAACTTTTAACCCCTAAAAGTGAAAAGTATCTGATATCTCCAAGTATTATCACCACTGAATCAAACATTGAGTGCCGCTCCCGCTAAGAGCGGTCCTCCCGACTTCCCGTCGGAAAAAAGTTTTCTTTTATTTTTTTCCCATGAAAAGGGTTTAGAGCACATGTTTCAAAAATAGTTTAGTTGTTCTCCAATTCTCTTTTTTTTGCGTCGCCACAAGCCAAAAATCATTTTTGGCCAGACCACCCCTGTGAACAGCGATCGAAAGTGTCAATTTCAAAGATTTCGTCCAGCGCGCAGCGACTGCAACAATGTAGCTCACGGAATTCTATCTTGCTACAAGTTACAAGGTGTATTCAGTTAGTTCACAGACAAAATATGGAAACTTCAGCTGAAATATTTTTCATACCAGCGTGATCAGAGGAGACTCTGCTCTTCGACCTTAATTTGCATATCAAAAATTCACTACTTTGTACGAAAGAATTCTCAAAATGCAGGCGTTAATCGGGCCGAAAAAGCATATCAGTGCATAGTTTATACACCAATGAGGTAACGGATTACCTTAAACCCGCGGGTATATCTCTAGCTTCCATCCACCAACTTCTTAAAAACAACGCCAATCCATGTGTTTGCTCAATTGCGCTCGTGTCAAAGATCATTTGCATGATTCTTGGAATTGACCAAGATCTCCTTTTGACAGTTCAAACTTCGTTCGTTTATCTTCTACGTTAAGGATTTTAGGTTTTCACAGCAAGTGAATGGCGATTAGATGCCGAGTTGTCCTAAAACGTTGCGTAAACGTGATCGGTCGTAACGCTTGCGCGCTCGCGTGAAACCAAAGTTAGTTAGTGTAACAAATTCGAATCGAAAGTTATTAAAATGGACTGAATGACATTTTTCCGACGGGAAGTCGAGAGGACCGCTCTTAGCGAGAGTGGCACTTAAGTTCACGAGAATGAAGAAAATTATCACAAACTCAAGAAGTGTTTGACTATGAGACAAATTCTCCATGTCAGTACCATAGGAAATGTATAGGGAACAGTATGAAGAATTACATTTTGATGTTAGGGTGTAACAGGGTTGAAGCACAAGGTTTCTGTGACAAAAATGAGTACATGTAGAAATTTAGATTCTTTGTTTTACAGCCATGGCTTAAAGTATTAATATTTTAAAAACGTGAGATCAAATGTATTTAATTTTCTACTTTATTTTGACAAATTATTATTTTCTAATAACAACTATAGGAATCTACTTATGGTACTCACATTCATGAGAAGCGAGAAGACAGAGAGAACAGATTTACAAGTATGTTCTCAAAACTGATACCAAAAGAAAATACACCCTACTACACCATTATCCATTTTATTCACCCAAGTTGGTGGAGAGTTTTGCATCAAAGAATACAACACAGTGACTCTAGGAAAAGCAGAAACAAGTTGTTCCTGTAGTTGATTTATTCCTCTGTACCCTGAGATGTACAGGTGTAGGTAGACACATATTTGTCACAACGTCTCTCTGCATAAAATGCAGTACTATTCTAGTTGATAGGCTCTTCAATTCTTATCGAGAGATGATCCAACAGCTTGATATGAGTACGGCTTACATTCACATTTAAACACTCTAGTTAATTACATGACATTTCGTTCATTTGGTAAATCATTCAAGAGAATGCTGAAATCGCAGACCAAAGTACAAGTATTGAATTTAACTACAGTATTGATCTATTTTTATGTAATTTGAAACAAGTAGGCCCTTTTGTCAATCGTTTTGAATCTATTCAGGTACTGTCCATGATATAGTAAACCGTGGAGGAAGATGCTTGATTCCTGTCTTTGCTTTGGGGCGAGCTCAAGAGTTGCTTCTCATTCTTGGTATGTTAGGTCCAGTTTTCTTTGCAATTCTCTGTTATAATTTTGTAAATTTCCCTACGACCAAACCCCATTTTATGATTGGCCATAAAATGCAAAAAGATACCAACTGAGTAAATTTTTAGGGACTTACAGTTATAGGAAGTGTTTTGTTTTGTTTGTTTGTTGGTTGGGTTTTTTTTTGGGGGGGGAGAGAAGGGGCCGGGCGGTTCTGTGTGGATTTTTAGTTGTTTCAGTTGTCTGATAGTTTCAATGTGCTTTTCTAAGCTAATACAGCTCACAAAAGAAGTAACAGTGATGCTTTAAGAAGACTTGTACTGGTCAACCGTTACAACTGAATAAGGGGGTTATTTTCTAAATAAACTGTGGTGCTGGGTCGGTAGGGCTGGGGGGGGGGGGATTGGGGGCGTTACAAGACAATTGGGTTGTATAAATTGAGTTGATAACGTAAGTTGGCCGCCGAAGAGACCCTCTAAAGCTGACCTTTCGAGTGTCAGCCCTTTGTCAATCACTATGACGAGGGGCTAGCGCTCGAAACTCAGCTTTGGAAAATCTTTACGGTGGCCAATTTATATTATCAACTCAATTGGTAAAAGCCAATTGTCTTATAAATTTAATAATCTTGCATTCAAAGAATTTACACTCATGCTTCATAATCAGATGTCAACACCCCAAGAATCCGTTTTTAACGCCACAGGAACTACGCTTACTTTCTTGTATTTAATAATAACTGCTTAAGTGTAGTTTTTAAATGAATAAAAGGGGTACGTTTCTTGGTGCTACGTCGGTAGAAGAGTACAACTGGGTAATTTAGTATTATAAACTGAGTTGATAACGAAAATTGGCCATCGTAAAGAGTTTCAAAGCTGACGTTAGAACGAATGACAAAGGGCTAATGCTTCGCTCTGACGAAGGGCAAACGCTCGAAACGTTAGCTTTGAAACACTTTACGGTGGCTAATTTACGTTATCAACTAATAAGTTGATAATACTAAATTATCCTATTTTGTAAATGGATTCCTGTAGATGAGTATTGGCAAAATCATCCTGAGCTTCACGATGTTCCAATCTACTATGCTTCACAACTGGCCAAGAAATGCATGTCAGGTGAGAGAAGAATGCCAAGTTTGTAATTGTTTATGTTGCGTTAACAATATTTTAGAACGTAGAATGACAAGAAGAATTTGTTTAACAATCAGGAGCTTCGTAAATTGGTGATCATTTACTCTCGCGACTTTTACATTTGATTAAAAGCAGATACTACAGGCCAGTCTCTCTTTGCGGTTGAAGGGTTAAAGAAAGAGGTTTGTGAGAAGAAGTTAGATTTCACAGTTTCAGAGCACTGGGCCCCCTTTAATTTATCCTAGAGCATAACCTTGAAATGCGACACTTTTTTGAAGGGGAGAATTTAGGTACATAGAACACTCAATGTGGTCTAGAAAATATGCCGCTGAATAAGGAGACCCAAGGAGACCCATCATCAGATGAAGAGACGATCAGGTTACAGCGAGTGTTTCATTTTGTAGAATGTGCGAAACATTATTTAATGTTGCAAACATCCTATGCCCTGTTTAAACAACGAGAGAGAGTTGTATGAGATTGTCTGTCTGAACTATTTATCGGGTATTGTGCAACACCGTTGTAAAAAGGGGTTAAAACTAAGAGTAAACGAAAGGACTTTCCGCCGGGACAAAACAAATTGCCGTTGACAGGAAGTGATCGTTGAAGACGGGGGCATGTTAGTGGAGGTAAGACACCGAGACTGTCACCAAGACTAAGTTAGATAAAAGAAAACCATATGCGAACCATACTCCTTGAAGTCGCCGTTGGGAAAGTGTCCTCCGACACATGCACTGTGACAATGACCAAGGCTATTTCTTTTCAATCCAAAAACGTATAGATTAATTATTGGCCGTTATGGTTTACACATTTACATATCGTTATTTGCTTTTATTTGCAGTGTTCCAAACATATGTCAATGCAATGAATGAGAAAATCAAGAAACAGGTAAGATGATTATCGTTGCTTCACCATCCACGCTTAGGTTTAGAAAAAGTCACTGAAATGCAATTATGTACTCTGCATATTTGACGGTCGTATTAAAGAATTGAATGGTGGTAAAATGTTGTTCATTTTATGTTTGCTGATATAATCAGGACGTTTCCTTTTTACTAGATTATTAAAGTAAATCTTTTTTGTGTTTATAGATCGCCATTTCTAATCCATTTGTGTTCAAACACATATCGAACCTGAAGGTAAGGTGGTACTGTAGATGGTATGCATGTGTGCATGTCAATGCCATGTATTTACAGTAACGATAGACCACTCAAAGCACATGTTCATCATCTGTTTGTGTGTTGATTTCTTGGCTGTTTGCATGCATGTTTGTTAGTTTATTCTTTTGTTGGATTGTTTTTTCTAGGGTATTGATCAGTTTGATGATATCGGTCCCTCGGTTGTAATGGCAAGTCCTGGAATGATGCAGGTTTGTGACTGACACAAAAGTTAAGATTCCAGACAGCTGAATGTTTTTAAAGGAAAAAATATGCAAACTTTTTATCTTTTTATTTGTTTCTTTGTTGCTGATTTCTCTGTTTTTAAGCTGCATAAACTATTAAAATCTTATCAAGGAGTAGCAGCAGCACACAAAATGGGCGTTGTGTCAATGAGAGAAAACCTCGGCCCTATAATTCACTTCTTGTGCATGAATACAAACCGGTTTTCTTTGCACACAGAGTGGCTTGTCACGTGAACTCTTTGAGCAATGGTGTACCGATCGTCGAAATGGTGTGATCATAGCTGGTTACTGTGTAGAGGGGACACTAGCCAAGGTATTGTGATGAAATGAACTACTCAGTATGGTGCCCTGTTAACGTCCTTTACAGTTTTACACTACTGTTTTATGTGACCAAGCAAACTGTTTATAGGAAACATGAAGCCATTTTAAGTTCAACAAAGGCCTGCTGGACGGACAAACGGAAAAGGGAAATGGGCGGGAAAGGAACCATTGTCAATAAATAAGTGTTCTTGCTAACGGCTCGATTACGGCTTTAAAACTTGAATGAAGTGAGCCAAGTTGCTTATTAAATCGCGTCCAACTCCTGATCCGATGATGCACTCGTAGAACTCATAATCTCTTTACCTTGTTTTGAGAGCTCTGTCATTAGTTTATTCTTAATCTATTTGCATTTTGTACCAGACTTTGATGTCAGAACCTGAAGAAATAGCGACCATGACAGGACAAAAGATTCCACGCAAATGTTCTGTCGGTGAGTGCTGGTGTTTCTAATACTCAGAATATTTTCTTGTGGTACATGAAGCTATCTATTTGAAGAAAAGTTCGAGTTTCCTTCGAGGAAACGAAGCCTCGAGTATCAGACTTTTTTTCCATGGAGAGTAAACCTTTAAAATGTTTTACATGATGTTCCGACTACTGTCCGTCATGATAGAAGTGATTCGTGGTAGTAAAGAACTTTTCAGTGGCTTTTCGGAGGAAATCTGAGATGCAATAGGCTGTACCTCAGTGCGATCAGCCAATCATATGTAAGACTTGTGTGTAGTGACATGCATAATCTTTAAATTCCAGTCGGCATCCAGTGATATGAACACCTGAATTAATGGTTTGTTCCTAGTTCTGTGAGATTAGCCTTTAAAGAGTTAATTGATAAGCGCTCTTAAAGAATTCGTTAATGCTCAGCGTGCGTTTCGAGCTATGGATGCACGCAGAAAGTTTGGAGAGCACGAGAGAAGAGTAAGAGTTGTTCGCGGCGCGATATAGTTGCTCGAGATATTTTTTCTTCCTGATTTTTTCGACTGGTTTTCAAGGTACTTTTAATGTAGTCTATTTGAAGTTTCCCAACAATGAATGTATTCCCTTTCAGTGAATTTCAGACCATGCATTAGTGTAAAAATAACAAATTGATTCTGTGATTTGTTATTTGCAGACTACATTTCATTCTCAGCTCACACGGATTTCGAACAGACAAGTGAATTCATTCGAATTCTAAAGCCCCCTCACATTGTAAGTGAAATGTAGAGAGTTTCAAGAAATTTAAACAAGTTGTAACAACTCAGCCTCAGTTTCCTGTAGACCCTTCTTACTTTAGAAAAGAAAAAGGCTCCCCTTATACATAGGCACAGAAAGTAAGTATTCAAGTGGTCCAAAAGGCACGAGCTGAAATTTCAAGTTCAAATGAATATTTTGACACAGTTCTAGATTGGAAAAAATGAACAAGTCCCTGCTTATTTTAAGAATCCAAACGCGTGAGCGCATCATGGACAAGGTTTTCAATACACTGGTTGGATACAATTAACCTTAACCGTCTTGTGATTGCTTCAAAAAAGTTTGTTATATTTTCTCAGGTGCTGGTTCACGGTGAACAGAACGAAATGGGTCGACTGAAAGCCGCTTTGATTCGTGAATACGAGGACAATCCAGTAAGTTACGCGCGGGCAATGTTTTGTAGGTATTAGCTTTTTCAATAGATAAAGTGCTCAGACTATTTCTTATTTTGTACCTTCATCTACAGGATGCCAGTGTGGTGGTTCATAACCCCCCTAATACTCAAAGTGTAGAGCTCTATTTCCGGGGGGAGAAAATGGCCAAGGTAAGCATAATTTATTGTTTCGTGTTACTGCATGAATAAACTTGAGTGAATTTCTCCGACCACTTACTGTAACTCTTTTAAGGTTTAAAAGTCTTATTTACAGTTGGACCGCGTCTTACTCTCATATGGAGTGAAATAGTGAACACTTCTTGAATTGACATACTACACTGCGTGCGACCCTTTCAGGTGATGGGAAGTTTAGCCGCCGAAAAGCCTGAGCACGGAAAACCATTGTCGGGAATTCTTATCAAACGAGGCTTTAATTATCATCTGATTGCACCAGATGATCTCCAAAGTAAGTCCGCTGACAATGTGCTGTGAAGCGTCGCACCGCACTGCATCGCGCCGCATTGCATTGTTCATAATTTCCATACTGAAGATCAGAGGAAATACTTTAGTTTTACCTTGATGACTGCTCGCACATAGACTTACCTGTACCAAGCATAGAAAAGACGAATAAGAGCTAGGTTGAAGAACTTTAGATGAAAGCAATCTGACACCAACTACCTGTGGATTGTAGGAAATAGTTGCACGCTCTTCAATCTCTAAGAATTTAAACAGAATTTCAAGAATATTACAACTTTACGTGTGCTGTTATCCTCTTATCTACCAAATCCAGACAAAAAAACTTTTCCTTAGCCTTTTGCCCGTAATGTTTGCCTTGGACTACTAAAAGACGTTTTCTTCGAGCCCTAATTAACCTAGGAGAATATGATAAGTTTCGATATTTATGGTTCCTCTACATGTTGCTTGGCTCCCTTTGCTAATCATTAATTTCATTTTTTCCATTTTTTTTTACAGATTACACAGAGCTATCCACGAGTGTTCTTACTCAGGTATGAAAATTAACATGACTCAGCATTATACTTTGAGAACTGGGAACGAGATCATCGAAATAACCAAACCGTACTGACATCATAATTCCCAAAGAAGTGTGCTGAAAATATTGTTGGTATACGAAATTACTTTATTAAAACGACATAGAATTTGCAAAAAAATAGTAGAAGAACACTGCAATGGTAGAAATGCACCTTTTGCAAAGCAAGATTGATTTGCATGACCGCTGCTTACGTTCTAAAGAGATTTTCTGTTTGCCCTGACCATTTTTTTAGTTGTATTTTCTTTTCTCCTCTAGAAACAAACTGTGGCTTTCCACGGTGCCTTCTCCCTTCTTCTGCAGTGCATGGAGAACTTAGCTGGTGAGGTGGAACAACTCTCATTACAGGGAGGCAAACTCGCGCTGAAAGTGTTTAAAGCTGTCACAATCGTTCAGGAGAAACGAAGCGTTGTTGTGGAGGTACACAATAGTGCTATTTGTTCTTCTCGGTGTGACTTTATATTAACTTAGATGAGACTTCCCGCTGTGTTCCTAGCGTTTCTTTTAGGCGAAAGCTGAGCAACATCTCTTGTGTTCTTGTCGTTTTCCTTGCTATTGCCATGGATGTTATAGGTCTGTCGATTGATGACAGTCTTGTTTCCTTTTAGTGGATAGCAAACCCTGTGAACGACATGTACGCCGATGCTGTCCTGGCCGTGATTTTACAAGTTGAATCTAATCCCACAGCTGTTCAAGGTGACTGATTTGACTTGGACTGTTGTACTGAACGCATGTTTGCCTCTATCTTCAGTGTGTCTGTGTGATACACATGTAACTCCTTGTTTCCAATTGGTGGCTGTAAGACTATGTAAGAAAGGCTTAGTTTGACCTCTGTTTTTAGGCCCTCTTCCATATTTGACAATTAGGTTACGAACTCGATATTCTATCACATGATAATTGATGAAAGCGAAGCCCAGACTACCTATTTCGCCTGGAAACCGAGAGCGTATTATGTAATTGTTTTAGTGTAAATATACTCGTCGACAGGTACAAGCTCATGTTTTTATTTCATATTTATAACACCACACAATGTTTGGGTACTCACTTTACACACGATCTATCGTGGTGTTGGTAGCAAATAGCACAACCAATCAGATTGCAGCATTTTTGTTAGAGCGCAGTTTACTTTAAGCTAATTTTAATCAGTTGGTGTCGATAGCTCTGAATGTTGTCACGAATTTTCCATTGATCATCAACTAACTTCCCTTTGACTCTTTGTTTCGACAGCTGCTCGTGCTAAGAAGCCAGATATAAGCCAGTTTCCAGAAAGGTATTTTTGTTTGTCTTTATGTTTCTGTTTTCGTTTCTCCTTATCTTAGATTTGCCCTTTCTAGAAATACAGGTGGTCCTCTCTTTGGAGTGATACACCTTTATTCTGGGGACGCCTCCAACCAAGGGGCCATTTTTTTTGACCACTGAAAAAAGGCTCATTTAATCTGTGTTTGTTGCCTTGGAGAGAAATCTCCATGAAAGGAATGGTATATTTAGTCTTAAGATTGTCCCCGGAATTGAGTTTCTACGAAATAAGATTTGTTGATTAAAATGACTCTGAGGCAGTTGCAAAAGCTGAGGATACTTGAACGTCGTTATGTTAATGATTAGATAACTGTTGATTCCCCCACCGCTTCAGCCTCAGATTAACTTAGAGGTATTGTTTTCCTCGCCCTGACCACTACCGATACCAACTGTAACATAAGTTGGTAGGACAAAGTCCCTTATATAATTCACACGAATGGACAACCAGACCTTAAAGTGACCTGTTACTAATGGCGAGCTTACTATCTTGGACTTATCGCCAGAGAGTTGAGCCTCCAATAAGGAATCAAACCTTAGAACCTCAGGTCACCAATGATCTCGTGGCTCAGCAGGCCATTCGCTCAGTCCATGTATGAGAAGGAACGAGGAGAAAGAGAGTGGGAGAAGTGGGTGGGACTCTGGTCTAAACATCAGCATCTGGAAAGGGGATCTCAGTTTACGTCTAGATGTCAAAGTTAATTCATTGGAATTGACAAGTCCCCGCCAACGCCCAAACTTCCTCTCTTTGCAAACAAGCACCCTGCACACTATTCAGGTCACTGAGTGATCAAAGTATTTGTTCATTTACTCGCCACCGGCTCTCCTTTTATCCAACAGACTGATGAGGCTTTTAAGCGGCACTTACGGCGAGGATGCTGTGACAAGAACCACGAAAGGAGACCAAATCTCCGTCAAGTTGGACGGACAGATAGCTGTCATCGACCTTGAGACACTGGTAAGATGTCGGTCAACTGTATGACAAATTTTAACAAAGTCACAACAGCGATTGATAGAGTGACTGATTGCTATTATCTTATTTTACCTTTCAAAGGAGGTAGAATGCTTGGATGAAAGTCTACAGAGTCACGTGGCCTGTACGGTGAAACGACTTCACAATACTATGGTACCTTGCCATTCCTGAGATAAATGGAGATGAACGACACCCTCAGGATGAAAAAAAGCATGTAAAATCAAGTTAAAAAACGCACGTAGTCGCCTGTAACTTTAAATCCCTTTTAGAAACCTTCACGTGCAGTATCACGCCTATAAACAGAGATGTCTTTTGCATCTCACGGTTTCATTTGACCTTATATTTTACAAAGAGCAAGAGGCAGGAACGCCTCGCTGTGTTTCTCTCATGCCCTGTCTCAGATCATACCAGTTTACATCAACCCCTTGAGGAACATTTGACTTGAGAACGCAAGAAGACTCATTAAAACATTGCTTATTTAAAAAACGACTAAACACATCTCTTTTACCTCATTGTTATTGCGGATACTTTAGCATCACACTTACTAGTAAACCAAGATGTACGAGACGCAACCTATTTTACTGGTAAGGTATAAAGATGTATTCCTTTTGGAATTGGAATCGTAGAGGCTCCGCTGGGTTCGTGGATTCGAGGGAGCAAAGCAACTGACTGGATCAATTATGGGCAATTTAACTGAATTTTCATTTAATCCGCAAATTATTGCTACGTTAGTCTTTCTCATAAAACTCTACAACCACTGTAGGACTCACTTAAGCAATTACATTCAATTCTATATGTTATTGAAAAATCTCGGATGCTTCGCTGAGCATGCCGAGTATTTGTACTCTGTTTTACTAATATAACTAAGGAAATATACTGAAAAACTTGTGCGGAACAATTACATTCACTGGTTTGGTTGTCAAGGAATCTTCACCGCTGAGCCCACGAGGTCTTCGGGGCAAGTATTGTGCAAATTTAATGGCGCTAGCTGGTCAAGAGATGCTTATTTCTAGTAGAGTAGCATGTATCAGAGAGGTCATATAATTAAGCGATTATGTAATCTCAAACTGAGCTCGATTATTGCTATGAACAAACCAACCCTCCATGAATTAAACACCCAGTTTTCAGTTAAATGTTTGAAACTTTAGTAGGTAAGAGTGGTAACTTTCTTGAAGTGAACTAGACCAGTTTTTCGAGAAGTAATGAAAACATAAACTAGGGGTCTAAAATTCCTGATCCAGATAGATTTACGATTTACAATTAAGTTTCCGGTGCCGCTCTTTGCGTTCACATCCTAGTAAAGGGGCGAGAACACCATTCACAAACAGCCATTTTCGTTTGTGTTTGCTTGCTGTCCTTGTACTGTGGGTCAACTAAAGGTAATGGCTCTAAAGAGCTTGTTCGCACAGCTGATCGTTTGCGTAGGAAGTCATCACTCAAGGTCCACCAGCTCTTGTGTGACACGCTCCCATTTTGTGACACGGGGCAGTCGCACAAAACGTTGCCTCACAGACAATGTATGGCGAATTGAATTCTGAAAAGAAATAGCATCGTTTATGATTACGCTTTCGACCTGCTATTTAGGTTTCAAGATGATTCTCCATAACTCAGAGATACTTAGTAGATAATAAGAAGAACGGTTTGGATAGCAATGATTTCAGGGGTTTAAGCAAGAAGTGCTTTTAGAGGCCTTCTGGAAGAACACGCCTGAAATATGCACAATGAATTTCGTTCAAAGTTTCACATGTGGTAAGGAAGTCAGTATCAGACACTGGGCAGCCAACCTTTGATTGTGAAACATATTCCAGAATACCTAGCGACATAAGTGACCCTTCCAAAAGAGACCAAACACCACTTGGCAGAGAACAGCGATGAAGGAACTGATCAAGCGGTACCTTAAGTATGACGTTAAGTACATGTTAAAGCAAGGGAAGGGATTAGAGGCGAGATGTGATTGCATGGGGACGACGAAGTTGGGTTTAGCTTTGTGATAACCCTCGAATAGAGATAAGCCCTTGTGAAATTAGAGAAGGAAAACTCGACTAAATCTGAGGTATTGCATGTAATGACGAGCCTAAATGAAATTTATTTCTGTTTTCCTGAGCAAAAACATGCTTTAATTTATGTGAAAGTTGGAATAGCTCTTTCATTTGTCAAATTGTGAGTTCTGTACCTTCCATCCGGATGAGGATATCTCGTCTCCTTTGTTTCTGAAATATGGAATATTTAGTGTAATCCATCGATAAATCTCGTCCAGTGTCATTTTCTTCTCTACACGAGATGCAAGAGCCATCGTTATGAGATCTGAGTAGGAGCCTTTACCCCAGGGATTATTAGAGCCCGGCCTTCCTCCACCAGTGTCTTCCCCCTGAAGTTGATTTCGCCTTAGCGGGTGGTGTGAGTAGCCATTCGACGTGTTCTTTGGGATTCTGATGACTGGTGGCTTCTTGTCACGTGAAGAGGTCGATACACTGCTACTGGCTGCCCCAACCTATGACAGGAATTCAAAAGATAACTTTAACGACGCTGATAGAGTAAAGGCCCGGCCAAGCGCGTGGAATAGTTTAACCCAACACTGTTGGATCGGGTTGTGAGATGTGAAGGACGTGGCCAAACAAGTGCAGCATCTTGCAACATCAAAAAATGTTGCAATAATAAAATAATTAACCATTTTCAAACTTGATCCAATATCTTGCAACATTTTGCAACATGGTTCTATACTCGCTTCTACATTCGTTTCTTCATTCGCAGTGCACATTTATGATTTTCATATATTTACAGCCATTATCCAACCCTATAGAGTTAATAAATAACTCATCGATTATTTCTTTCGTTGCACTGTGTATTATGCTTGTTTACATTGGTACTTGTTATTGAATCACAAAGAAATCGTAGTTTTACTCCCTTTCCAAATGACTTCTTTCGGTGGTCTGAAACTTCGTGCCTCGAGATGCTTTTGTTTTCCTCCTCTTCACGGTTTGATGAGGAAGGACTTGAAGAATGGACATTTTCCCGTGGAAGAGTATTAGAGAGGGTTTCCTATTTCAAGACAACAAAAAAAATATTGTTTTGATTGAGTTTGTTGCTCTGTTATTCAATTACAAACGTTAAGAATAAATGGTTCGGCTAGGTTAGTTTTGTATCCATTGCAAAACTTTGCAGTTATCGATATGGGTTGGACATTTTTATTATTTATATATGCTAATTTTGTTCGTTTTGAATTCTCTTTTGTTTCTGCCAAATAAAGCAAAATTATTATTTTCATAATTATTGTTAGTAATGGTAGTAGTAGTAGTAGTAGTAGTAGTAGCGATAGTATCGTTATTAGTATTATTATTATTATTATTATTATTTTATACCGTTAAAATGGTGAAATAAAGCTGAATAAAAACACATCTGTAAATCTCTGTAGACGTTTATTGCTACAACTGATAGTAGCCTCACATAATTTGCAGCTCTTAAGGGAAAATTTAACAAAGAGCCACCCAGTGTACCTGTTAAGGGACCGAAAAATCGATTTTTCTTTTCTTTAGGCTGAATTCAAACATTTATCCTATCGTTCCCATAGAAAAAAATTTTTCTGAAATCTTTTTAAAGCACCTGAGTGATTTAGAAAAACGTATCTTTAAATAAAAGTTAGTAAATCAGGAAGGTGTCATAATCTCAAACCTGGGCGAATCCCTGAGGGAATTTTCCCGGCAACCGCTCATGTTGGGGCTCGATTTTCATGCTATTTCCATATTTTGTTCACATCGCGCACTTTACAAAATTGACCAAAATTGGAAAAATCTTTTGCTCGTGGAAAATCAAAACCCTACTATCATCATAACTGATTTCATCGTCACTTTTTTTTCATTATAATCAGTATTGATTTAGTAACTTAATTTTCCCCCCCCCCGTAAGAAGTCTCCATTCCTGCTGTACTACGTCAATCTTTCTTAACCCCCACGTTATAAAAACGAACACTTTTCATTCAACTAATTTTTTCTTGTGTTTTTCACGTTATCATGTTCCTACCAATAGCATATCCCCATTTTTCTGTACATATATATATATATACCACATACCACATACAACACACAACTTCTCATTTGCTCTGACGAATGGCTAACGCTCGAAGCCTCGGCTTAATGAACTCTTTACGGTGACCAATTTACGGTATCGAAACAGCTGATAAAACCAAATTAACTAAATCATTCATATATAAGAATAGTAAATTGTACTTCCTTTGTTGCTCTAAAGTATCTGAGCTTATCCCGGCTCATTTAGCATAAAGCGGCAAAATTTATGGATCAAAGGTTATTAATATTCAGCGCTTGGGCATTATTCTAACCAGGAGTTCATAATGTTAATAATGTCCTCAATAGCTGGCGTATCCTCTCCACACCGTATACCACCAAGTCTGACGAGTCTAAATTTGATCATCTTAAGAAGAAGGCATCAAACGGTAGGTGACTGGTCCTGCACTTAAACAAGCTAGAGAAAGGGATTGTTTGCCTTGCTTGAAGATTCTCACCTCCACTTTCACTTTCAGAAACCTTGGATCCGTGTTTATTCTGTCGCTGGCTAAGGGAAGTCCTCTGACAGGGTGGTTCAACTGCACAGGGAGCATATCATTGCAAGCATTTTCAAAATTTCTCCGATGCAATGATGGCAGGTTCGGCAGCACGTTAGAAACCGTTACGTATGGGTGATAATTTATCCCAGGGATAAATCGTTGCTTTCCATTTCCCGTGGAAAACTAGATCATTTAAAATGAAAAATATTCAGTTAACCTATCGTCATCTCTTTCTACCACAAAAGTAACACTTTTCTCTTTGAATAAGCTTAGTCCAAACCAACAATGAACTCAGTTTGATTTCGAGAAACTAGTTATCTTTAAGATTATCTGTTGAAGTTTTTTTTTGCGAATATGAGCCAACAAACCAAAAATTAGCCTTCGAGCAGACCTTTATGGGTGCTGTCGTACGGACGATGATGACACGAGCACGAGAGACGCCAGCAAAGAGCATGACGCATCTTGCGAGCACACTGGCTAGCACGTCTTTCTGATCCGCTTCTCATGATGCAGCGCGTATAAGAGTTCGACTCCCACATAGTTCTAACTTACCGATCTAAAGTGACTTGGGCACCTCGATATCTCACCAGAATCCAATATTTTGTGCACGGGTGAGTGCAATGAAATTTCTTTGCCGCTCTGCCGTGCCATTCCGGGCTCCACCATGGCTTCGCCGCTACTATACAAGAAGTATCCATGATCTTCATACGACTGGTGATGACTTGTCCCATTAGTGAGTATCGAGCGTCTATTGTTTTCATTATTAATCCATTTATCTCCGAACTTGATTTCATCTTTCGTTTCACTTTTGGCAGTTACATATCGACCAGAACTAAGGGTCTTTGCGTTCCTGCTTTTAAGTTTGTTATCTTCAACAGGGATTGTGTCTCCAATTTCCGGCACATTCCTCCCCAATATATCATGGTTTTTCAGACTCATTGGTAGTTCATCGAGGTCACCTAAGAAGAAAACATGGCCTTTTTATTAATTGTAAGTTAACCGTTTCCCACGCACTGCCAATTACTGACGAGTCTCACATCACTTTAACAAAATGCTTTTTCCTTCTCTTGATAGGTAATCCGGCTTTGTTACTCTCCCTCCCTGACACAAGTTCATTTTTAAAGGGCTCTTTTGTACAACTTGCTTTTTTATCTTATTTATAAGCGTAAACCATACCTCTTTCTCTGAATTCAAATTTGTCAGTTTGAATTGGGTAGGCATGAGGTTCCTCTTTTGATAATCTCTTCCATGGTAAGTCATCCATTCCACAATCTTTCCTATTCACTGCTAATCTACTTCCTTCCTTCGTACATTTTACGGTATTCTCTCGAAGGCGCTTGCACGGTATTCCTTTCCTCGAGCGTTGTTTGGGTGTTCCCAGTGCACTCGGGGGACTACGGTCAAACTGAAAGAATGCGTTTCCCCGATCTTCATCATTTTCCGGAGAGCCAGCTAACTGACAGTTTTTACTCTCCGACATCATTCTCGACTGTATGTGGGAAATACATCTGTGTTGCCCATTTTTGACTCTGTGTTCATTTTGGCTGATACCTGGGTTACTGT